TGTATGTTTACATGTAGCACATTTGACAATAAAGTTGAGTTGAGTTGATTACTATAACATTGTTTCTACTTTATGGGTCACCTTGGATAAAAGCTTCTGCTAAATACATAAACATGAACAATCATTTCTAAGCAATAAAATAGGATTTCACATCAAACCAATTAGGAATGTAATCCTAATCTCTAATGTTGTTGCTGTTATTCTCTACTTTTAAATGTGACCCAATGGAGGCGTTCAAAGCTCAGATTTGAGCTGGATTAAAGCCTAGCAGCATCAGAGCCATCAGCTCGCCTATTATGATCAATAAAATTATTGTAAAAAGGAAGATGCTTCATCAAACCTTGTCTGATTGCCAAACAAGTGTCTCACCCTCATTTTCCCTACCTCCCTGTTTTACCTGTATTTACATTAAAAACATCAACAGTACTTCTAGTCATGTGGGCACACAGCGAACCAGTGTGCATTAAAACTGGCAGAATCCGATTCTGATTGGTAACCTTTCCTCTGCAGCTACCTTTAACAGTCAGAGGTTCACAGATTAGCTGCCTGCAGCTCAGAGCGCAGCATGAGATGATCCTGTTGTGGGAAAAAGGTATTCGCTCCAGATTTCACTCAGTCTGCACTTTATTTTAGTTTTTCAAGTAAAAAGAGAAGCAGACACCAACAGCCCTCACAGCGTGATGTTCAGCCCTGCTCTGATCTGCACACCGTCCGTCTCTCCCTAATTAAAACCCTGCAGAAAGGCTGTGAAGGTCTCTACATTTTCTAACCCAAACAAAGTCAGACAGTTGGAAATAACACTTAATGTTGTGAACTAATCCATGAGAAACAGTCTAGCTTGTTATGAGAACCAATATTTTTATCCCAAACACTCCCTAAAAGAATAAACAACCCCTCGTCGAAGCCTTGCAGCTCCGAGGTCTGAAAGAATGAAACTCAGCACTCATAATCAATATATATTACAATGTATACCATCATGCTTAGTGTGAGGGATTGCTGAAGAGTCAATGAGTCGATGCAATCAGCTGGTTTTTCTTTGATAGAAAACGTTAAATGAATCTGACTGGATGAGCTGGTGAACTGGAAAGTGACCTGAGATGGCATGATGTGATTTGAAGCTATAGAAATAAACTGAATTGCATTAAATATATATCTAAATGGGAATTAATAGGAAATAATTTTTTCCACCAAACTCCTTGTCTATATCGGCCATTTGGCCACAGCGAGGGAAATGTGGCTTATCAACCTCCTAAACACTCATTAGAGAGAATGCCGACACATTGAGCAGCTGCAGGTTCTGCAACAGCTTTTCCCCCGCTGCCATCACACTGCTGAACTGTCAAGAAAAAACAAAATCTATATCAATTAGCAAATCAACAGTGATGTCAAAAGTTCACATATTTGTTACCTAAGTAGAAGTATAGATACTGCAGTTTAAAAACACTCTGGTAAAAGTTGAAGTATCAACTTGACCTCTTTACTCAAGTAAAAGTGAAAAAGTATGTGCTCCAAAAACTACTTAAAGTATAAAAGTATAAAGTAACCTTTAAAATAAAGCTCAATTTTTCGACTATTTCTAATAATTCTCTGAGATAGGGCCAAGGATGAGGGAGGTCTGGTTGGTCTCCGTCTCCCGATACGCTCTCACCTGTGTCCGACCTTTCAGACATTTCAACATCTTTTTCTGAATCCATCATTGTAGCATGGCATAGATAATTCACGTTAGCAGTTTGAAGAACACCTGCTTGCTTCTGATGATTTCCTTTAGCTAACCAATGAGTGTTTGCGTTATATGACCCATCCATTTACACTAGTTTTCACTAGATGTGGACGGAGCCAATGA